GAATTGTCTTTGTACTTTGTAAAAATTTTAGATTTATAGTGGTCTTATTTACTTATTATGCTAGCCATTAGACTTTTACAATTGTTACTTACACAAATATTACTGTGCAACTTTGAAATGTTATTTCACTACTTCATATCTCAGTTTATTCATCTATAAAAAGAGATAACCTACTGTATTGTTTCCCCAGAATTCTTCCAGCACTAAAATCCTATTACTTTAAGTTTAAAAAAACAATACGTGCATGTTCCTTTTATATTTAATGTCCACATACTAGGATCTGTTATGTGCATTTGTGTCTATATGCATGCATAAATACTGTTCCTGTTTTGCTAAACACACTGTTATTTTCAGCATTGAAATTTTATACTGACCCTCAGTGTATTGGCACTATAGTGTAATAGACTTTCTAAAATGTTTTAATTCAACAGTGTGCTATCAGTTTGGGGCCTGAATTTGAGCCCCCAAATTATTCATTAAGGACTTAAAGGGAAAAAAAATTGTTTTGACCTTAACATAGGGATTCACTATTGTCCTGTGGATTTAAGTTAAAAAGTTAAATGACAATGCATTTGTTTCACAGTGGATTATCCGTTGTTTCATCCACAATATCTAGATCGTCTTCTCCTTCCTTTCTTCCTCCCTCCCTCGCTCCCTTCCTTCCTTCCTTTCTTCCTTTTTGTGGTGATACTGTGCTTAGGCAAGTGCTCTACCACATGAGCCTTGCCCCAGCCCCTCAATCATTTCTTTAATTATGGCATTTCATTTTAGTAGTAGGTTTACATTATTAAGCTCTTTAAATTACTTTTGCTTTAGTAGATATATTTTAAACTAAAAAGCTGTAGCATTTCATAAAGTTTGCTTGGTGAACATTTGCCCAAGGGACAAGGGCAGGAGAAGGTTTTCTCTTATTTAGCTTTAGCTCAGTCACAATACTTTCTCAGCACAGCTCTTAATTGGGTCTGTGAGGCACAGTTTCCATCGCATCAGAAGTTTCTCTACTCCATAGATCCCTCACTCCAACTTTGGGAATAGGGGAACAATTATAGTAACTGTTACATAACATTTACTCTTCCACATCTGTGAAATTGGGCATCGTTTGTTGAGCCTGACCTTAATTGAGAATGCTGACATAAATATTATGGAAAGTGTACCTGATTCTGATAGGAGGTGGAAGTCATTTGTTACTATAAAGATAAGTCTTGGATACCAGAAACTGTACCACAATTTAATTCAATTAAACCCAATTTATAATTAAAGCTAATAGTAAATATGTATTTATAATATAAATAACCTGAAAAATTTAGGTACTAATTTATTTCACTAAATGCAGCTGAAAATTACTTTTGTTTTCCTCAGCACTGGAGTTTGAACTCATGTTTACTAAGCAGGCACTCTTAGCACATGAGCCACTCCACCAGTAATATTTTTATTAATTATTACTTTTTGTAGTGGTATGGAATTTGAACTCCAGGCCTTGCAGTTGTTAGGCACATGCTCTACCACTTGAGCCACTCCCCCAGTCCCTATTATTAATTATTATTTCCATAATATTTGTAATCCTTAAGGCAATTTCCATGTGTTATTATTATTTACTCATTATTCCATGCAACAAAATTAAAGTATTTTACAAATGAGATAGCTATAAAATTAAAAACAAAGAAATTCAAACTGAACACTTTGACTCTAGTCTGAGGCACTTCTCCATTGTGCTAAACCCATGCTGTGTACATTTCAGTGAATATTAGGTGACCCTAATGTGCTTGCAGTGAATAAATTGGTGATAAATGGAATCTTGTTAGAATTGACAGAAAGAGACAGAAAAATTAAAGCCTTTTGCAAGTGAATAATTTGGCATGTAAAGTTGCCTTGAACTTGAATTCACAAATACCATGTGTAAATTGCTTGAGTTTAGAATGCAAACTTTTATGTATTCAGTTAAAACCCATCTACTATATGTAGCCACTGGGCTGGATTTAGGTGTGGAGGAGAGACCCAAGCTGCTTTCCCTTGTCTATTGTCATCTCTCAATATACTAAGTGACCAATTTAAAGTGCTGGGAACAGAAGAAAACTAAAGGCAGAAAAACTGGCCTGGCTCTGGGTGAATGTGAATTGTTGAAGGAGCTCTAGTCCAGAAAGGGAAGGCTTATGACAGGTGGCAGATAAAGGAGTCCAAGTAGCATAAGTTACATTGTTATGACATTTGTCTGGAAAGGAAGACAATAGACTTCCCAGGCTTGGATCCCAGAGACTTGTAACATCTTCTTGTCTCCTAGTAAGTCAATCTCTTTTTGCTTTCTTTTGCATTTGTGACTGAACTGTAAGTGTGCTCATGTCCCTTATCCAATGCATACCCTGACCATTTTCTGATTCCTATTTGAAGAGAATTTTGATTTGTCACAGAAGTATAGAATAAATCTAAAATCATTGCCCAGTTCCTCTGGGTACTGTTGAATGAATACAGCCAATTCATTTTTGTGACTCTAATTTTTCTGTGGTTCGACTGACCATTCTCTGTTATTGGGATATGATTTCTATATAAATTTTAATGCTATCAGCCAGGCAAAATAATAATGTAAAGATAATGGGCTTTGGGATCTTGCCCATTATTACACAGGCTGCTTCAATAAAATCCAGCTAATTCAATGAAATAATATCCTCCCTCCCTCCCTCCCTTCTTTCCAGTAGTGTCTTTAAGCCGAATAAATGAAAATTAGCAATTTACTTTGAGCTCAGTTTTTTCATTTCCAAGAATGAGATTGTATATTCCCTAGCTTTTCTTTCTCTTCAAAGCTTAAATACTTCTATTGTGTATTCTTATCTAAATTTTTCCATTTACAGAGAATTTTTCTACTGACTTGGACTTCTGACTCCAACTAATATTTACGCTAGCAACTTTCCCAGTTACTATCACTCAACACGAGTCACATATGTTGAAATTCTCAAAATTATTAGTCTATGCAAGGCCTATACTTGTGACTTTTACCAGAGTCAAATCTTGTGGTGGTTAGAGAAAGAAAATTTTCCAATAAATCACCAATTAGTTACAACCCCACTAATCTAAATATATTAAGTCCTTTAATACATTTCTGCTAAAAAAATCTCATAATATATTGTATAATGTCAAACTTGAAGAGTTACTAAAGTTAGTCATGGGCTAAACACTTACCCATGTTCTTGCTTTCTAATGCGGGTCCCCTACCCCCATCCAAAGCAATGCATAGTCTCTCTCTGATTTCAGAGGCTCTTTACATGCCTGATTCAATTTCCTTTCCAGATGTTCTTACTATGGCTTCTTCACAGAAATTCCTTTGTCCAAAATGGAGTAAACCAATCTTCTTACTCCTAATTTTGGTTCAACCTGTGACTTTTGGGTTTCTCCTTCCTCTCTTCTCTTCTGAACTTATCTAATCCTTTCCATGTTTCTAGATCCAACCTAAGTTTGAAACTATTCCTAATGTCTTCTTGCATGTTTTTTTCTCATGGACCTCTTCCTTCTGGGAAAATCTGTAATTTTAACCCAAGATTCAGTACATAAATATATCTGTAATACATTTCCATAAGTACTTTCCCTAAATTCTTCATTGAATTGTGAAATTCATAATGGCAACACTTCACATTATTTTTTTACGTAGCTTTACTATGCTTGGAATATGACTGATTTCAAGGTAGGTTGTTAATAATAGGTTGTTAATAAAGGTTGTTAATAACATTCTAAAACTACTGTAGTATTTTAGTATACATGCTGCTTTTAAAATGTATCTTTCAATTTTTTTGAGTGTTTAACAGTATGGTATCAATCTGGAGTTTTCTATAAAACAAAAAGTGATTATGTTCTTGATTTTTCCAGGTTCTTATGCCAATCTACATGACAAGGCAAAAGAATATTGATTTGAATCAGAAACATCTGAGTAATTCACCAACTCTGTGTCCATTAAAGTCTTGCTTCTCAGGTGTTTTGGGAATTAATTGCATAAGCATCATTTGGGGCACTAATGAGATATTCAGAATCCCAGGTCCTGTTCTCAAAAACACTAAAATAGAATCTAAAGGCTTTCAGTATCTCAGGTGCTTCATGGAGACATAAAAAGTAGCAAATACATGAACTGTTTTTGGCATAAAAAAATCTTAGCTTCATCTTATTATTTACTGCCTGGTTAATCTCAATCAAGTTCTATCTCTTATATGTGGAAAAATGTGGATAATAAGAATATTGTATTTTGTAAAAAATGTAGCAGTATATACACACATATATTCATGCTTATATAAAATTACTATTTTGAGGTTGACTTAAACAAGGAAATTTTCAAGATGAACTCTGAAGCTACAGAATAAAATATGTAAAGAGAGGTGCAATGTTCTACCAAGATTCTCCATCACATTTGTATGGAGCTAGTCTGTGCCACAGTCTTGTCATAGGAACAGTCAGAATATGAAGTCAACAACTAACTATGGCTTTAATAAGATGTTAAATTTCAGGTGATGATGTTAAATTTACTATGATTAAACATTGGTAAAATATACAATTAAACTAACCAAGAATGTAGGCAGTGTCAGTCATTAAAAAGACAAACATCAAGAAAAACAAATTTAATATGAAATTTTGACCATTTTGTTAATCATTGAATAATAAGTCTAGTCTTTGTTGAGTATTTTTTCCTCTCTCTCTCTCCAGTGTTCACTTCTGGGGAAGAAGAAATGAAGAACTCAGGCTTGAAATTGCTAATTATCTAGAAATTATCATTTCCAATAATTGCCAATTATTAGAAACATCAACTTAAGAATGTGTCCTCCATAACAGAAAGGTAACTTCTGTACATGTGTCTAATCATGGATAGATATGCCTATGCTGATGATGAAGTCTACATGCTTCCATTATTCCCAATTTTATTGCTTTCTAGTAGCACACATTATTGAAGATAACAATGTGAGGGCTTCAAGCAAGAATGCTCTTTAATGTCTTCTAATAAATGGTACAAAGTACCATCTCAACAGTGGGAAGATTGTATGTTAGGTTTTCTTTTGACATTCTGAAATTTAATGACATGGATAAGATTAATCAAACATTTGTGTCAGAATTTCTTCTTCTGGGTCTTTCTGGATATCCAAAGACTGAGAGCTTTTACTTTGTTCTGGTCCTAATTATGTATCTAGTAATCCTAATTGGCAATGGTGTTCTGATCATAGCAAGCATCTTTGATTCCCGTCTTCATACACCCATGTACTTCTTCCTGGGAAACCTCTCTTTCCTGGATATCTGCTATACATCTTCTTCTGTCCCCTCAACACTGGCAAGCTTAATCTCCAAGAAAAGAAACATTTCCTTTTCTGGATGTGCAGTGCAGATGTTTTTTGGATTTGCAATGGGATCAACAGAATGTTTCCTCCTTGGCATGATGGCATTTGACCGCTATGTGGCCATCTGTAACCCTCTGAGATACCCCATCATCATGAGCAAGGGGGTGTATGTACTGATGGCTTCTGTGTCATGGATGTCTGGTGGAATCAATTCAATTGTGCAAACATCTCTTGCCATGCGACTGCCTTTCTGTGGGAATAACATTATCAATCATTTTACATGTGAGATCTTAGCTGTCCTCAAACTAGCTTGTGCTGACATATCACTAAATGTTATTACCATGGTAATATCAAACATGGCCTTCCTGGTTCTTCCAGTGTTGGTTATTTTTTTCTCCTATATGTTCATCCTCTTCACCATCTTGAGAATGAACTCAGCCACAGGGAGACGCAAGGCTTTTTCCACTTGCTCAGCTCATCTGACTGTGGTGATTATATTTTATGGTACCATCTTCTTTATGTATGCAAAACCCAAATCCCAAGACGTAATTGGGAAAGACAAGTTTCAAACTTCAGACAAGCTAATTTCTTTATTTTATGGAGTAGTAACTCCCATGCTAAATCCTATAATCTATAGCTTAAGGAATAAGGATGTAAAAGCTGCTGTTAAGTATTTGCTGAAACAAACATTGGAAAATGCATGTCTTTGTGTAACAGGTATAAAGAGGGACTCATAGATAAATCAGTGAGAACCTGTTTTGGGGAAATGTTGGTTATGGAAAGATATTTTTGTTCTTTGCCTTAACCAGCCATGGTCAGCTATTAATACCAAGGACTATAGTTTGCTATAAACTTGGCTTCTTGCATGTCCTTATCCAGATTACACAAACATGATGAATTTTATTAGAAGCCTGTCCTTGTGATGTCTGAAAGGAGTTTTTCTTATGGGCTATGTTAAAGCATTGGATAAAAATCACACAAAAGCTTTGGAAATAGACAAGAATACAAATTGTGCAAGTCTCTAACTACCTAAGAGTGGTTTTGGATAAATACTTGATTTTTTTCAAAGCTATAGTTATCTTACTTGTAATAAATACCTAAATAAAGCTGAGTTTCTAGTATTATTTAATTTGTAAATAAGTTGGAGACTCATTAGCATAGTATCAGTATCATACATCCCCAAATTTCAGAATTGAAGCTAAGACTACAATTCAAAGACTAAAAGTGACTATTTAGCACTTTTACTCTAAGCTAGTAATTACAGAGTCTGATATCTGTGCTTAAAATTCACTCCATTAATATCAATCTCATCCTTGTTGCTGCTTCCCTATAATTATATAAAGAGAAAAATAGGCAAGGAGGAAAAATAAGGAAGTGCAAAATGAATGTCCCTGAAAGAGAAAAGAAATGGTGGCAATTCAAGCCAAGTAAACGGATGCTGCAGGAAGATCACTTAAGATTTTAAAAGTTTTCAAAGATGGAGGTTTAGGTGTTTGGCTTGATAGGCTGAGTTTTCAAGGGTTCAGACTGACAGAGGAACTAGTCTGGAAGAGAGTGGAAGCTGTGTATTCTTGGCAAATAGTGAAAAGAAACATCTCAAATCCACCTAACATTCTAACAGTCTCAGGAAGAGTGATTAAAAACAGTGATTGCCCAGATCAAATGAGTTTTTGTTGTTCTCCAATGAGTTGAAACTCCAAACTAAATCCATTATAATTTTGTGTTAGAAAAAGATGGCTTATTTAGAAGATTAATGCTGAGTGTAGGGTAAAATTGGCCTACACTATTCAGATTACCCATAATTTCTTTACCCATTATGATAACTAGGCTTTGATGTAGTTGTCCCACTCAATTTTCCTCTTTCCTGTTTGTTTTAGAACCACAACATCAACCCATATCTCTACTCATATGCTTCTCCCTTTTCTGGTTCACTTCCTTTAAGTTGGTCCAGGTTTCTACCTAAATACTCAGATTTCTAAATCTTGTTGCTTTGTTATTCTTCCATGAGAAGTGGAGGATTCTGTAGAGAATCTACAGCTACTGGTCTAGCCCCTCAGGGT